ATCCCCCCACCCCTGGCTTGAAAACCCACTCCTGGATCTTTCCATGGTCTCTTTCATTAGGAGTCAAAACTGAGTCTTTTAACTACCAAAGTCTCCCTGTGTGACACATCTCCTGACTTAAAGGTGACAGGGAGTTGAATACTCTGTCCAGTCACTGCAGCTTTGGCCATAAAGCCTTCCCAGCGAGGGATAGACCACTTGGTCCCAGAAGACCTCCCTGTCTTTCTGAAATTACTATTAATCAAATCTGTCTCAACCGAGTCTGATCCACTCTATTACATTGCAGTAATCCCTGAAACAATCTGCATCATTTCCAAATACTTTCATAGGGTCAGCAAATCCTAACAATCCAATGTCTCATTTCTCAAATTCATCCCCAATTTCTCTGTTCAGTAGCTCACAGTTGATAAGCAAAGGTTCAAGTTCACCAGAGGTAGTGGTTCTAAATGTGCAACAAGACCTCCTTGATGCGTATTTACTCTGCACAAAAGCACAGAGCACAGATTTACTACAGGGGGCCCTTGAACTAATTCTGTGCAAAATGTGCTTTCTAAATATAGACAGAAATGTACAATGATTGTCAAGTGGAGGGGCATGGCTAGTTTGACATTCAAATGGAGGCTTTGTATGTGAAAAAGAATGAGGGAAACTTTGGTCTAGGGCAGTAAGAGATGGGGGATGACTGGAGGTGGTTCACACGCAATACCAATGAATTATGATTGAGATCTTTCTCTTTCAAGTTCTCATTCTCTCGAGAAGAAGGTCTCAGTCAGGTGTTAATGTGTCTCCAACCTTTTCACAATACTTGCTGGTCTTCCCCTGGGACTCCAGGCAGGCCTTGGGTTCGAATGTTGGTAATCAACAGCGAGTAACTAGAATTGTAGACTTCTCTTTTTCTTTCGTTTTCACTGCTTTCCCTAGCGGGGTTATGTCTATCACAGCAAATAACACTGCTTTTTCATTTGCAAGTCATGAAATATCAAGTTGGGTGTTTAAAGAGTTAAGTTTGAAGGAAGTGAGGCAATTTAAGGAAATATTGTAGCTGATGAGAAGAGGTAGTGCAGAACAGGGCCGAAAATGTGAAAGTGACCCCCAAAAAACCAACTGGTATGGGATACCAGTTGGGACTAGCGAATCTCAGAATTTCAAAGGTTTTCGCTATGAATCACTTGAGGAAACAGGTCATGGGGCGACCCACAACTCTTTCTTCTCCATGTTTCAGTGTGGTGAGTGCAGTTGCATGCATCAGAATTGCGGAGTCAGACTCCTGCTCTGATGTTCCCGGACGTCACAGAATATCACAAGCTTCCAAAACAAATAGTAATAATAGCAGCAACGTTATGGATACACTTCACAATTTACAAGGCTTTCCCATACATTGTAGCTTTTGGATGAAGCAAAGCTTAAAAATTTGAGTTCTAGGGCGCCTGGGTGGCTCAGTTGGTTAAGCGACTGCCTTCGGCTCAGGTCATGATCCTGGAGTCCCAGGATCAAGTCCCACATCGGGCTCCCTGCTCGGCAGGGAGTCTGCTTCTCCCTCTGACCCTCCCCACTCTCATGTGCTCTCTCTCATTCTCTCTCTCTCAAATAAATAAATAAAATCTTAAAAAAAAAAATTTGAGTTCTAAACCCTTCTGTCGTTAAAGTGCTGTGTGACCTGAGGGCAGTTACTTAACCTCTCAGAGTCTCCGTGCCCTCAATTCAGCTCCCCATGCCAGCGCTTGTAGTGGGTCAGTGGCCAGGTAACCAGACCACAAATGCTGCAGACACGAGAGCTAGGGGGACCAGAGGACTCCTCAGCTTGGGGGAGGAGTCCGGGATTAAATGGCACATTTGGCTAATAGCCAATGGTAGGGGACACTTTGGGGCACATTCATTCTCTCCCCGTTCGGCATAATAGGATCAGGCTTATGAAAGAGGCCTAAGGGCCAAGAGATGGCTGGTTCTCTTGGAGCTGCTGGGAGGGAGTACTGTGTTCCCAAGTCTTATTGTCTGAGAGGAGGGACTGGGGAGAGAACAGGAGCTTATGAAAGCTTCATAACCGCCACTCCTAGAAAGGTTCTAGAAGTGAATGATAGCAGCAGAAAAGTCATAAATCCCCCATTGCAGGCCTGTGGTCCCTTTTGCTCACGCCAGAGCCACAGAGCAGCCATGAGTCTGGTGCTGAATGGGGAAAAGGCTGGGACTGCAGTACTAACTGTGGGCCATGGAAGGCATCCGGCATGACTGTCCAGCCATGTAGGGCCAACGGTGCAGCCGAAAGCAGCAGTGAGAGCAAAAGATGCCCGCAGACGGGCTCCGAACTGCTTCAAGCACGCACACACGCACGCGCACACACACACACACGTACACACACGTACACACACACAGAGCAAGGCAAGAGCAAGACAATATATTGAGTGCCCATTATGTACCAAAAACTGTCCTAGGTGTTTTTTAGCTGTGCTACCACGGTTACTGCTTGTGTAAAACTAATTTGACCTATGGGGCAACTCAAGTTCAGAGAGGTTGAGTAACTTCCCCAAGGTCACACAGCTTATAAATAAGTGAGACAGGATAGGGGCGGGGTGGCTCAGTTGGTTAAGCAGCTGCCTTCGGCTCAGGTCATGATCCCAGGGTCCTGGGATCGAGCCCAGTATTGGGCTCCCTGCTCAGCGGGGAGCCTGCTTGTGTTCCCTTTCTTGCTGTGTCTCTGTCAAATAAATAAATAAAATCTTTAAAAAAAAATATAAGTGAGACAGGATAAATTCCAGTCATCTGTTCTTTTCACTCTTTTTGCGCTAGCCTATATTATATCTCACAGTACGTTTCGGAAATACATACATGCAATGCACATACCACATACATACATCCACACAAGCCTTCAACACATTCACACCCTATACCCCACATGTACATCCATCCCACATGTACACACACAAATGCTGTACTTAACACTTTCACACGAACATAGGTATTCACGTTTGCACATACGTATCTATGTAACACAATCCACCCCATCGCATCCCAGTCCCCACACACATCCATACACATCCACCCACTTGAACACATCACATCTAGAAACCTGCCCACATCACACCCACTCACAAACATCCAGACTCACACACACAAAAAAACAGTAAAATGCATTTGTCCCTCATCCTATCAATCAAAATGAGCTCTTAAGTGTATGGATAAGGGATCTTCAGGTTACATAACATGAGTGTCTAAATAATCCTGAAATACCTTCTGGAATTGCACAGGAATACCAGATTGCTTTCAGTATTCTTTTTACTGGAAATAATAGTGTAATTACTTTAAAATTGTTAATCCATACATGAATATTTATGAATACCCTACTAACCAGAATATTTGATTAAAGTAGCATCGTATTCATTCATTCATTCACTGTGCAATCACTGAGTATCAATTATGTCTGAGACACCATGGTAGACACAGCAGGGGATTAAAAGAACAAATAAACAATAAATAAAAACACCATGGTTCCTGGTCTTCAAACACAAACACAAGTAATTATATTACCAGGTAGCATGGTCCAGGACCTGGTGAGTGAGGGATGTGACAGGAAAGGGGGACGAGGAGACAAGATGGCTCTGGAGCTTGTAGGCTAGACAGTGGCCAAATGCTGGTGCTGTCTGGGGAAGCGGGCTCTGGAGGAGCAAGTTCAGAGAGGAAGCTGGGGCATTCAGTTTGCAAGATAAATTTTAGGCACAGGCAGGACATCTAGCTAGACACGCCCTGCAGGTGTTTGCAAATGAAGAAAGGGGGCTTCCGGATCGGCCAGGCAAGAGAGACTTGAGAGCCATCCATTAGAGGTGATCACTTAAATTGTTACAACTGAGATCAGAAACAAGCCAAGGCGAAGAACAAGAGAGGTTGAGTGCAGATCCTTGGGGAACACGATGTCTTACTTGGCTAGGTGACAGAAGCTCCCATCTTATGCAACACACACACACACACACACACAAGTGCGTGCACACACTCATCCCTCTATGCATGCGCGTCCTTCAACGTCCTGGCCCCTGAGAGCACCACACACCACATTTGCACTTGCTCCCAGCTATCTCCTGGTATCAGTTCAGGCCTAGGAAATCTCATTTGCCCAAAGCAACCCAAAGGACTGTTCTTTAAGCCTTCAGCTTCCAATCTTGACTCTTCCTAGAAATCTGCACACCTTTGAGAGTGTGGCAGGGGGACAGCCACTGTTCTTAGACGTCAGTAATCCATGCCGTGGCATGAATGAGGACCTGAGAGTACTTTGTTGCATGGGGGCTGGTGACAGAAACAGTGTGAAGCACCCCAGCAGTCTGATCTCAGATCCCCCGGTCTGGATACACTGAGGCAGACTGGTTTACTCTGGGACCTACGTCAGCCTCTTCCACTAACTGTACCTCAATGTTCCCAACTGAGCATTTTCTAAACTGTATGTTTCATGAGATGGTAGTCCCCTAAGTATGGGCCTCTAAGCTTGTTAAAGCTTCTGAGAAGACTCGAGGTAAAGATGCCTGGTTAAATTTCTGTTCCCGAATGTATTTGACTTGGGCAACATTTTTTTTTAATTAGTGGCTGATTCTGAAAAGAAACTTCGGGGAAAGGCTAGACTATGAGATCTCTAAGACTCCCTCTGGATGTGCTATTCCCCAGACCCATGAGAGTGCAGGCACCTAAAACACAGGGCTGGGCCTCCTGGGAAGTTAACCGTTCGATCTCCTCTCCAGGGAGGCCCCACAGCCGAGTGTGATTGCACAAAACCCCAGAGAGGCAGCCTGAAGAGGTAGCAGCTTCTCCGAAGCATGAGACACACAGCTGCCTGCCAGGATCCCATGTTGGCGGGTATCTGGCCGACTAAACAATTTAACCTGGCCTTTCCTCATTCATTAAGGACCCACACTGCCTATTTCTCAGGCTGAGAACACTCTGGTGGCTCTTGGGTCTGGGCAAGGCTGGCATATGATCACACAGCCATCATTAACCCTCTGCTTTCCCCTCTCCTTTCTTAGCCTTGCTGCTTCCAAGGAGGCTGAAGCCGCCCGCTCCGCGCCCAAGCCTATGTCACCCTCGGATTTCCTGGATAAGCTAATGGGGAGAACCTCTGGATATGACGCCAGGATCAGGCCCAACTTTAAAGGTAGAGTAAACTTTCCTTCCAGATCCTCAGGGGTCTGCTTTCCTATATTACAGAATCAAGCAGCATGGTTTTGTATGCAGATGGTAAACACAGGGTATGAATCCCGTGACTCTTTCCTCGCCCACAGGCAGACATTGTTAGTCAGTTCTGTCTCCTCCCCACCAAGCCCGAAACAAAGCCTCAGAGAATCCCCCTCAGCAATACCTCTGGTTGCCAGGAGTCAGTAGGTGAATTAAAACCTATTGGCTCCCATTCTGTGCCAAGATGCCCTTCAACAGATGAATGGACAAAGAAGATGTGGTCCATATATACAATGGAATATTACTCAGCCATCAGAAAGGATGAATACCCAACGTTTACATCAACATGGATGGGACTGGAGGAGATTAAGTGAAATAAGTCAAGCAGAGAAAGTCCATTATCATATGGTTTCACTTATTTGTGGCACATAAGGAATAGCATGGAGGACATTAGAAGGAAGGGAAAAATGGGGGGGGGCAGGAATCGGAGGGAGAGATAAACCATGAGAGACTATGGACTCTGAGAAACAAACAGGGTTCTAGAGGGGAGGGGGGAGGGGGGATTGGTTAGCCCGGTGATGGGTATTAAGGAGGGCACGTACTGCATGGGGCACTGGGTGTTATACGAAAACAATGGATCGTGGATCACCACATCAAAAACCAATAATGTGGGCGCCTGGGTGGCTCAGTTGGTTGAGCGACTGCCTTCGGCTCAGGTCATGATCCTGGAGTCCCGGGATTGAGTCCCACATCAGGCTCCCTGCTGAGCAGGGAGTCTGCTTCTCCCTCTGACCCTCTTCCCTCTCGTGCTCTCTCTCTCATTCGCTCTCTCTCAAATAAAATCTAAAAAAAAAAAAAAACCAATAATGTATTGTATGGTGACTAACATAATAAAATAAGATTAAAAAAAAAAAAAAACCTATTGGCTCCCTCTGGTATAATGGACAGATAGGCAAACATGAAATGTGGAGAAATAGGTCCACGTTGTGCTTCAGGCACAAACGTATGCTCTGAACTTTGATAAGCCTCTTCCTTTCTCTGGGCTTCAGTTCCTCATCTCTACGGGGATAGAGTTGGCTCTACCTGTGGGTTTTAAACTGTGCCCGAAAAGGGAGCTGAGGGAATAATGAGCAAGCCCACCCTCGCTTCTCTCCCAAGCCATCCTACTTTGATTTCTTTTAGAGAAGAAATTTCCAACTAAAATTCATCAGCTGGAAGTTCCCAGGGATTGATATATAATTTTGAAACGTTCTAGTCTAACTCAGAGTCACAATTTCAAATGGCTACAGGGATTAGGCAGGTCACTTAAATGAGTGAGGTGAGCCAAAAGTAAGGCCAAAGGGAGTTGTAGCAACTGTGGAGAAACAGAGGTGCAGGTCCCTCGAAAGGGGACAGCCTCTCCTTAGCCCCAGCCCACAGTTACCCTGCAGGAATCAGGGCCCCATGTTGCCAGATCATCCAATATTCTAAGAAGAGCCAGAAATCAAGATTTATGCAAAATTTCCTGATCCTGAAAACATGTAAATTCAAACAAAACATGTTTGTGAGCCAGATATGTCCTGTGGGCAACCAATTTACAAATCCTCACCAGAGTGATCTGAGAAGTTTCTTTGAGCTCTCGGGGTCCTACGAGGTCCTGATGTCTGTTACGAGAGGAGGCAGGGCCCCTTTGTCCGGGGACACCCCAGAAGTTGCAGTAATCTCAAGCCGCTGAGCAGACTTCTGCAGGTGTGGTCTTGAGGAGCTCCTGCGGATCCTGTGCACTCCGACCATCCTCCCAGGACCCCTGCAGAAATCTTATTTCAAGGACCAACTGCCAGCCTTCTAATCAACTCTTGATTCCAGATGCCCTTCCTCACTGTTTCTTTTGGCTCAAGTCCAAGACCAAACAAGGGATGTGACAGCTGGTAACAGCTCCCTAATATTTGCTTACCTTGCTCCCCATTCTCTAAGTACCCTTCTCAGAGAGCTCTGCAAATGGAAAGTGGCCTGTGAGATGCACTGGGGTGGGTCGTTGGGGCCCACCTCCCACTCCTGTTTACCTCCAGGCTCCCCTGGCCCCTTCTCCTGAGGCCCGATCTTCCAACATCCTTAGCATGACCTTGGTTCCCTCAAGGGCAGGTAAGTCAGGACCAAGTTTGCTGCTATAGTGTCTGGACCCCAGCCCTTCACCAGGGTCACAACCTCAGACACCCAGAGGGATCAGGTATGACACGAGTGAAGCTGGATGGGGATAAGAGAAAACCAGAAAGCACAGGCTCAGGGAGCTGCCAGGTAGGAATGCAGGCCCAGGGCAGCAGGCCTTCCGAGGTAAGACTTGAGTCTAGGGTTTTCTGTGAAATCTTCCAAGTCGGCAGCTAAATGACATCTTTTAGAAACACCATTGGCCAAATCGAACACGTTCAAGAGCTGACCACCAGGTTGCCTCCCGCGCCTGGGACAATTTTCCGGCATTCCGGCCCACCACGCCCCCTGCTGGGCTCTCTCAGAACTCCAACCTGAGTGCCGCGGTCTAGCTCTCCAGAGAAAGGAGGAACTCGTTTGTTGAATGTGTATTCATCCAGGGTTCATGTGTTAGTCATCCTTCACGCATAGCACTGCACTTGCACATAGATGGCCCTCAATAAACCTTTCAAAGCTGAATGAATGAGCGAATGAACCAAAATACGTGCTAAGGCTTAAAGCAGTTAAGTGACTTTTCCAAGGGATGCCGTCAAGACTAGGATTTTCACTCAGCTACATTTACTCAATTCTTTGTCTAATGCTAGTGATTTGTTGATTTGTTTATTCATTCATTTATTTACTTACTTATTGGCTTAGCAGTGGACAGTTTTAAGAAGTAAACTTTGACCCAGACTATAAAATTATTGAATTAACGAAGACCCTTCTCCCCAGTCTGAGAGCCTTACTTTGAACATCCGGGCCCCAAATCTACAGGACTAGATAATGTCTCAGGTTTTTCCCAAACCTGCAGTGTCTCTACCCCCTTCAGTCCCCTCCAAGTCGGGCTCTGAGCAAGATACATCTTTCTAGACACCCCCCTCCCCCACCCCCACGCCCCAGAAACTGGGAAGCAAGGTTTCTCTGTTCTCCCTCGTGGTAAGAGCCATGAGGGTTCTCCTGCCCCTGAGTCCTCTGGTCCCTTCACACTTCCACTCAAGGCACAAACAGCATTCCCAAAAGCCCCATACAAACCACAGAGCTCCCGAAAAGGCCGTATATATAAGGCCCTGTGACCCTAACACAAGAGGAAGAGGCCTGTGTTGTTTGAAAACTCCACAGAGTGATTAATCACTCAGCAGTTCTCTGCAGGCACCAGAAGCCTTGCCTGCTCTTGACTCTCCTGAAGATGGGGTGGCAGAAACAGTAGGCTCGGTCTGCAGAACACAGTGGCCATACAAACCAGGACACAGAAGGAAAGAGGGCGAAAACTGGAGTCCAGTCCTCCCACTGCTGACCTGATAGTGTGACCCGAAGGCCATCACTTGACATATCTGGGCCTCTGTTTCCGCATCTGTAAAATGATCCAGTAGGATCTAGGCCCTTCCAGCGCTGATAGTCTGAATCCTCCTTAAGACTTTGTGTAGGATAATGGCTCCCAGGATCAGGGGCACAGCCTAATACAAACACATACACAAAAGCAAAATTAAACTTTAATATTTAATGAAATATATACATTTTCCTGCTGCCACAGGCAGCCGGATTGTAATTTTCTCGAGGATAATTTAATTTCAGATTTATATCAATGAGCCGCACCTCCCCAGGGGTCCCTTTGGCTGGCGCCCTCTCACACGCATAAATCAGAATCCAATTTATATGGGTGTCACAGCAGCAGATACTTGCAGCGCCTGGTGGGAACTCTGAGTGCGTCATTTCAAGGCACAGGCAGTAACTCTTGGGGGCATTTTAATGGCATGAGACCGAATGAAAAGAAAAGCCTGGGTCTGAGTCTAAATGAGGGGGAAAAAAAATTTTAATGGGTCTTTGTTTAGGTGGAAGTGACAAGGAGGCAGATTTCCACTCAACAAAAGGGAACTTTTTTAGCAGACAGAAGTATCCAGCTATGGAAAGAGCTGCTGACGATGAAATGAGGTCCCCACCGTCGGAGGTGTTCAAGCACTCAGCCTTGAGTGGGCAGCTGGCGCCACTAGACCAGTGGCCCCCAAACTTGCCTGTGTGAGAATCACCCTGTTAGCTTGTTAAACAAGACACTCCGGGCCACGCGGCAAGGATTCAGGTTCACTGGGTCTGGGGTTGGGCCACGGACTCTGCAGTGTAAATGGTTCACCAGTGATTCTACTGCAGTTTGGGAAGAAACTGATGAGGTGACCCTCAAGAAACCTTCCAGCCCCCAAACCCTGTAACCTTGTAGTTCACATGGATAGCCTCCATAAGGGAATTCCAAACCAAAGGAGCACAGAGTGTCTACCCAGATCAAGAGGGGAAATTGTAACCCAGAAACAGGAAGGGGCGTGCCTGAATCAAATAGCCAGTGAGTATTGGAGTTTCAAAAACCCAGGAAGCCCGGCACTCCCTTGGAGGGAAAACCTGGATTCCTACCACAAGACTGGGTCCCTTCCTGCACACCAAGATTTCTGAAAAGAAGGAAACTTTGAGTTTGGGTAAAATGTTTGGGCTACTTTCTAAAGAGGGACAGAGAGGAATGGGTAAGAGGGGACACAAAGACATTTGCTTCCTTCTTTCCACAATCAGAAAACTTGGGTGTGAGTCCTGGCTCCACCACTTGCTGGCTAAATAAGCCCAAGTAAGTTATTAAAACTCTCAGCTCCACAGCAGGGACAGTGATTTTGGCCTGGCTCCCTCAGGACCTCATGGGGATCAACAAGAAAGCAGACCTGAAAAAATTCACAGGTTGCACACTGCAATCTTCATGTGAAGGATTATGAGCTATTATCCAAGTCTTCCCCACCTTCAAGGTCAGCTCAAGGTTTATCACCGTCACGAGGTCTTTCCTAATGCCTTGCTCCACAGAACCTCTCTTACACCTAGACGCCTACTGTTTATAGCAATCTTACCCATAGTCTCACACTCCTCTCTGGTTATTTTATATTGGCCCCCTTGTCAGCTTATGGGGAAGCCCAGTGCTTAAAATCCAGCATTCTACCACTCTGTGACCTTGAGCATGCCCCTTCCTCTCTCCGAACCTCTCTCCTCCAAGTACAGCCAGTCACCAGCTTTGGAATTAGAGAACTCTGAACTCCAACCCTGGCTCAACCACTTACTAGCTGTGTGGTCATGAACAAATAACCTCTCTGAGCCTCTGTTTCCTCATCTGCAAAATGGAGGTAATAACCATATCTTCTGGAGTTGTTGAGAGGATATAATGAGATAGTATCAGTAACATTCTCAGCACAGCAGCAAACCCTGTGATGCTCAGTAGAAGGTAACTGCTCCAATTAATAGTATAAAAATGAAGAGATTGGGTTTCAGCTGGACAGAGGTCCCCTAACAATGAGATCCCAAAGAGCAAATATTCCTCCATGTCTTTCCTATCCTTTGCAGTAGAATTCAAAAAGCTTGCCTGGAAAGTATTTAATAAAGACTTACGGACTTCCCCTGAGGTTCCCTCTGGATTCCTCAGCTGGTAATTCCCATCAACGCCCTTTCAGGCAATCATCCTTGGTTCCTAAGTTCAAGGCAAGGAACTTGCTGTTCCTTGCGATTCCCAAGATGGCCTCCAAATGTTGGAGCCGTAAATACATTTCAGCCACAAATTAGAAGGCAGCCGATGGGGTTTGGGGAAGGGATTTCAGCCATATGGCAGGATGATGAATCATCCTGTGTTAATGAAAGTACATCCTAGCTTAGCCTCTGGTGTTCTGTACCTGGTGCTCGCTTGGGGACCAGGGAATCTGGCATAGTGATGTGGCTGGGAGTCCCTGCTGCTCAGGGGTGGGGTGGAGGGCATGTAAGGGTCTCCTCCACCAAGAGGGATCCATCCCTGAAGTCAGTGTTCCAGGAAGGGGTTCTATCCTGTGGGTTCCTTCCTGGCCATGGAGCTAAGCAGGAAATCTCTCTTGATTGGCAGGTCCCCCGGTGAATGTGAGCTGCAACATTTTCATCAACAGCTTCGGTTCCATTGCTGAGACAACTATGGTGAGTGAGTCAAAATACAGGCTGCTATTTCCTGCTGGGGACATCTCGCTCGCAGAAATATGTACCCTCTGCATTGGGCTTCCCCAAGGAGGGGAGAATCTGGTGTTTTTTTCAGATCTCCAGTGCATACCGTGCGACTGGGGCATTTTTACTGTCCTATTCAATGTTTTGGGTGAAGACACACATCTGCAAATGGCCAAAGAGACAGCAGAGCTAGCACATGCCAAACACCCAGGATAACAGAAACAAAATTATAGCAACAGGCTGAAGTTCTAGATGAAAAGAAAATGTAGAGATGCCTGGGTGGCTCAGTTGGCTAAGCATCTGCCTTCGGCTCGGGTCATGATCCCAGGGTCCTGGGACTGAGTTCCGCATCGGGCTCCCTGCTCAGTGGGGAGCCTGCTTTTCCCTCTGCCTGCCACTCCCTCTGCTTGTGCTCTCTCTCTCTCTCTCTGGCAAATAAATAAATAAAATCTTAAAAAAAAAAATGTAAAGAGCTGCTTGTAAGTTTACAATTCAACTGTGCAAGAGCAGAAGGCTGCTTCTAGAAGCCTCAGTGGGTCTATTGGGTTGATTCAACTCCTCTCTCTGCTTTTGTATATACTTCAACATTCTCATAGTAAAAAGTTTAAAATAAATCAACTATACTGGAGAAAAAGACCAGAAGGAAAAAATACCAAAACATTAATAGCAATTATCCCTGGACTGCAGACTTAACGGATAATTTTAATTTTCTTCTTTCAGTCTTTCCCTATTTTTTGAATTTCTGCAAGGAGCAAATACTACACTTGTGATTATAAATAAATGCAATGATACTTTAAAAATTTTTTCTCAATCCTTGAAAACAAAACAAAACAAAAAATAAATTGTACTTGTTTTGAAGGGAGTGATCTAGCTCGTGAGAAAGGAATTAAAGCAGCCTAAAGTCATCTCTTTATGAGCCAAGTGAGAGCAGCCAGCCAGTCACCAAGTGCTATAGACAGATGTTACTGCCAGGAAATCCTCTAAACCACCCATTTCTGGACATCCCCCTGGCCCTAGTTAAGTTCAGGCTTCCATGGGGCTTGCTCACATTACTGCAGAAGAGTCTGAACTCTCATCCAGCCCCACTCCGAGCCTTCTTTCCCACACACTGGTCTTTCTGAAATACAGATCCAATCACACCATTGCCCTGTTCAACGCCTCCCTGGTGGCTCCCCTTCACCTTCAGCACTAAGCCCCAATTCCTTTGCAAAGCGTAGAAGACCCTTGGTGATTCTACCCTGCTTCATCTCTCTTCTCTCTCTCTCTCGCTTCCCCTTCTGGATAATGGAAAGCCCTAGAGTTCTCCAAACAGGTGTGTCTCTGTCTGGTGCCACTGAGGACTCTGCCTAGAGCACCAGACCAGCCCCCCTTCCCTTGCTGACTCCTTCCCATGCTCCTCTAAGTCTATGCTGGAATTGCACGCACAGGAAGCCTGCACACTCTCACACACGGGTACACGTGTGAGTTCACCTGTGTGCTTGCCCCAAGGCTACGATGAGTTCTTCCCACCCATTCTCGTGACACATTTTACAGTGGCCGTAACAGCACTTACCACTCGGGGTGTAACACGTAACAGGGTTAACCGTCTGCTTATTCATCCCTGCTCTCGCCATAACGTAACTTATTTCTGGGGTGGAATCTTGTCTTGTTTCCCGTGGTAACCTCAGCAGCTGGCGCGGTGATTTATTTATTTTATTTTTTTTAAGATTTTATTTATTTATTCATGAGAGACAGAGAGAGAGAGAGAGAGAGACAGAGGCAGAGGGAGAAGCAGGCTCCCCGCAGAGCAGGGAGCCCGATGCGGGACTCGATCCCAGGACCCTGGGATCATGACCTGAGCCGAAGGCAGACGCTTAACCGACTGAGCCACTCAGGCGTCCCTGGTGCGGTGATTTAATAATGGGTACTCAATAACTTCTTAAAATAAATAAACCAGTCATCAAGTATAGTGTCTGTTGACTCACACAATTATTTGGTCCTAAACATTTATGGAGATTAGATCCAATCTTTCAGTCCCAGACTGGTGAAAATCACTGAGCTCTATCGGTCATGGGGCAAATGGTCCAAAATCTGTCCTTTTGCAAAGAGGCCTGTCTTGATAGGGTCAAGTAGACCCTGCCCGCCTCCAAAGGACAACTGATCAAACTCCCTAAAATTTAATAGGCCTATTATCTCCAAACCGAGATGATCCCACCTGTTGACTAGGAACAAACATGGCTGCTTTTCACTGGGTATCCAGATCAAAAAAAACAAGTTTTTCCACACTTCGAATGGTGTCTTAAGAGCTCCCAATGCTTTTCTTCTTGTCCCTCCCAAATCAGAAGCACATTATTCATACTCTCTGTGTGGTGACACTCTCCTTCTGGAATGGTACATAGTCATCAGATCAAGTCAGGGACCTCCCAGTTATGTAAAGAACTTGGTTCTTTGAGAACAGGTGTACATACCTGCTCTCCAAACCCATCTCAACTTGTTTCCCTACAATGGCCGCACAGAGATCTATTTCCTGGGCACAGATTCCTCCTAAAAGAATAGCAGTTTGCCCTTAGCTTGTGTGGTGGTTACAAGCCAGGCTCTGGCATCACATAGACCTGGCCTCACTCACTATATATGAGGAGCCGGTTTGCTTCATGTCTTTAAGCCTCGGTTTCCCCATCTATGAAATCCCCAGTGGTGACTAACATACTGACTTCATCAAGGTATCATGGGTGGAAATTATGTGCAAGAAAGTTTTTGTCACAGTAAATGCTTTTTGTCAGTGCTCTTAATTTCCCATGATAATGTTGATGACGATGATGATGATGATAATGGAGCCTGCAAAGCTGTAACTGATCAGCTGTACGATCCTGAGCCTCCATTTCCCCTCCCCCATGTCTCCTGCCTACCTTTCCAGACTTCAGTCCTGCTGCATTTTGCTCTCTATAGAGACAGCATAGCAATTAAGACACAATCTTCCTTGGCCAGACAAAACTCAAGGTTCAGCTCTGTGACCCCGGGCGGGGTAGCCTGAGTCAGCCTCCTGATCTGTAGAGTGGGGTACCAGTAGCATCCACCTCGTGACGTGTTGTGAGGATTAAGAGATAAAGCACAGAAAATGCTGAGCACGGTGCTTGACACAAAGTACACATGCAGTGAATATCAGCCATTATTATTAAATACAGCTTATAATTTTCAACACATTTCACACCCACTCTCTCATCTGATTCCTTCACTAAATATTTGGTCTTCTGACCACTCTCTACACAGTAGACATGGTAGACACTATGTCCCCCAGTGTGCAGCTGAGCAAACAGATACGGACACACCAGGCATGGATAAAGATCCAGTTCTCCTGACCCATAGAAGGTGTTCGTTGGGCACCACCCTGGCATTACATCAAAGGGCAAAGACTCAGGAAATCGAGGGGCCACAGACCCACACAGCATGCATAAGCAACCACCTAAGCAGTATCAAAAGCGGAAATCCAACCTCACCTCGTGCCAGGCTCAGCACACCTCAGGGGAAAATAGTACATACTAAAACCAGAGATAGCCCGCAAGGTAAGCCCGGGGGACACGGCCCCCTGCGGTGGAGAAACAGAATCCACAGACGAAGAATGAAGAATTGGCAATGATGTGCCTCCTTGGGAGTGGTCCACAGGTGATACAGTTTTCTCCTTCTTAATTAATGTTAATCCAAAATAGGAGTTACCATGTTCAGCTTGTACATTCCACAATACTGTGATTTCCTCCCCCCACTGGGGTCCTTAGTTATCTATATGCATTTAATTTACTTTGCAGATGATTTCAGAAAAACAGAACCTAATATCTCAGAACTAGAAAAACTTTAAGAAATTGTCTAAGGCAGTCCTTCATTTTACAGAGAGGGAATCTGACGGCTAGAGTGGGGACAGCACGGAGCAAGGTCACACAGCATGAAGCAGGTGTGACAGAAACCCAGGTCTAATGCTCTTCGCGTGGCCAAGGCTTCCCCTCACCCTCAGCTTCTTTCTCATCTAGATCCCACCAACCAAACCCTTTGGACCACTTTCCCATTCAAGCCCTCTTTCCTTGTCACTCAGAATATGCTTGGAGAGCAAGACTGGACCCATATTAATAACAAGAGCCACATCCATGCCTTAAATGCTACTGCGGGCCAGGCAGCGAGCAGAGCACTTCTGCATATGTCATCTCATTCAGAGCTCACGACAACCGCCATGAGGCACAGAAATGTTATCCCCATTTTACAGATAAGTAAGCTGAGGCTCAGAAAGGTTAAGTCACTTGCATAAAGTCACACAGCTGATCAGTGGCAGAGGTGGAATTTGAACTCAGATCTTATCTCCCCCCAAAGCCCGTCTTCTCCTGAGCCAAATATATAAATATTCAATTCCTGGATGTTTGGCATTCCCCAGCCCTTGCTTGTTTCCTTTCATCATAAGGAAATCAGAGATGAAAGGGAGCTTCACTGAATGGACTCCCAGCCCAGCACTCAGTCCCACCGACCACGCAAAGAGCCAGCTGTGCCTCCTGGGCCCGTGGTGATATGGATGTAGTCCCAGTGCCAGAAACTTTCCAAGAGCAGCAGTATAAACAGCTGGAGTCCCCAGGCCTGACTATCTGCGTCCCAGCGCCTGGCTTTATTCACCGGCGCTAACAGACAAGAAGCAGAGAGAGGCAGCCAGAAAAGCAACAGGGGTCTCTACCCATTCCCGACGAGGGGAGGGCTGAAGCTGCCAGCCCTTCATCTGACCTTTCCAGGGACTTTCATTGAGGCGATGCAGAAAACAAAGGTAGTTGGAACGGGAATGGAAAAAAGAGGGAAGGGGGTCCTGAACTAGAGCAGCCCCTTGGCAGGCTACAAGAGAAAGATTGGGAGCTAGAAGCCAGAGGGATCCATCCAGCTTGTCTGGACACGCGGAAGTGTGCACTAAGTGCTTACACTACAGCATCCATGTGTCTGTGTAGTATTTATGCCCCTGTATATACTGTGGGACT